GCAACTGCTCGCTCTCCTCAGCGTACTGCTCATAGGTGTCCTGCAGAGCGTCAACGTCCAAATCATCTGTGCCCGAGAAGCCGTCCGTGTAGACGGTCAGCTTCTTCAGCTGACTGGCCACGCTTAGGTCCACCTTAATGGGCGCCTTCAGGCCCTCATTCAGTGTAAGCTTCATCTGCAGGGTGGCCAGAGCCGTCATGCTGTTCAGTGTGGTGAAGAGGGAGGCAAAGAGGCTCTGGTACTCGGCTCGAACTGAATTCAAATCAGTACCTTCCAAATCATCGGCCCTTTCGCTAATAAACCTGATGTTGACATGTTCAAGCTGGAGGCGGTAGTGATGCAGAAGAAACTTGATTTTCCACAGTTCAGCAACAGATCCTAGCGTCTGCGAAATGGTCAGCTCCTTCAAGTTGGGAAACAGTTCAACGACTTTGTCCACCATTATCGACGAAATTTGGGAATCGATGTGGAAAGTGTGTCGTGTCAGACTCTCGTCAAACTTGAAGTAGTTTGAGCCGTCGTCGTTTTTCACCAGAGACAGTGAAGGATCTAAAAAATTTGGCGTGGCAGTAACCATCAGGTCGTAGTCATCGTACACTAAGAAGAGCTGCTCTCGTCGACGCAAAGCCTCAACCTTTAGTACTGCCCAGGCTCGGCACACCTCGTCAATGGACCGCAGATGGGTCAGTGGAATGTTGTCGAAGATGAGCAGCAGAAGTTTCTGCGGAAGGTCGAGGATGGTCGTCTTGGAAGCGGGAACGGAAGAAGAAGAAGAGGTCTTGTTGTTGGCAGAAGCAGCTTCCATTTTGAAGCAGCTTTCTGTACCGCTTTCAATCACCGATTGCTGGTTGACAGATTCAAAGAGACGTAAACAGAGCAGCATCAAGTGGATTTTAGCAGCACATTGCTGGGAAGCACGTGAATACTTTCTCGGCGACTAGGGCGACATCTTTCACACTCTGAAGTACACTCTGTAGTATCGAGATAAAACAACTTGAAAACTCCACTTTCTATAAGGGTGACAATCGAAAAAAATGACGCAGACGCTGGTGCAATTTTCGTTTGGCGACCACAACTTTTATGACAAAAAATCATCTTTTTCTCATCAAAAAGATTACACAGGTTGTAATTGTTTATTAACATATACAGATCAACAATAGTTCTTTTATTCCTTGGGCGTCCAGGTCACTCTGACCGTCACCTGGCCGGCCAGGTGGCCAGCCCTCAGCGGCAGATGCAGCAGCCGCCCACTGCTCTGCTCTCGACTCATCTCCGGAACGCTGACACTCGCCCCGCCGATGAAGTGCTTCGCCTCCTGGAAGGGGCCCACCGTCGCCCAGAGCTCAAAGGTGACGGTGGCCAGCTCGTTGAAGAGGTGGCCACTGCTAGCTCCACCGCAAACCTGGTTCCAGTAGGCGAAGCCGCCCTCGGTGACGGCCACCACCGAGGTGGCGCAGCTGACGCAGCTGGCGTGCTCCGGCAGTGGAAGTGGAGTTTGCGCCAAAACTGAAGTCTGATTTTGAAGGCAGGCGGTCACCTGGAGGTTGGAGTTGCTGTGGCTGGAGACGCCGGCCACCGAGGCGGACTCGATCTGCACGTCCAGGTAGCCGGTGGGAGGGGCCGGCTGGCAGGCGCCGCTGTGGCAGAACTGTGTTGAGATAGAGAGGATTTTAGAGCTTAGTTTTTGGAGTTTTTAAGCTATGAACAGTGCTCTTCTTACCCCCTTTCCCGTCTGCGGACAGGGCCTGCCCTCGGCGAGAAAATGCGTCCAAACGCGGCCGCCGATGGCGCAGTTCAGCAGACAGTGGCTGTTGAAGTAGGCGGTGTCGTTGCTCGTCCGGTCGATGACCACGCCGGGGTGCAGCCTGCTGCAGGTCACCCGGGCCAGCGCGGCATCTTCTTCTAGAACAGCCTTAACTGGTAGGCATAAGGCGATGGAAAGTGTTGCTAGAAAGAGCTTCATTGTTATGTTTTGTGTTGTAATTTGAGTTTTTGGTTTTTCACTAGCTTCAGGAGGGCTAAGGTGCCGGCTTTTATAGCTCGGCTAAGAGGGAACACTCGAGTGCTTGTTTTTACATAACATTGGCTATTACATAGCTCAAATGGTATCAGTTTAGTATTGTCTCCTGTTTCCTAATGACTCTTGCTGATGCTGCAATACCCTACCCCTATCATCCAGTCACAAGTGATGATTGTCTCCCAATTGAGTGCCTGCCAAGCACTCACAATCAAGATGGGAACAAAGATGGACCACTTTTTAACCAACAGTGCCAATACCTGTGCAATCAAAGTATCGACTTTTCCAGTTGCTGTGATAAGATGCTCTCCATTAGGCTAATTAAATTGGCGTCACACTCAGCTAACCTAGTGCCGTACAAAGGAAACGCATACGACCTTGATGGCCACTGAAACAAAACAAACAAAGGCTGCCTTAGCTCAAATTGGTTTTTTCTCTTTATTACTACAATCTCAGCTCATTATGTAACTCACACACAAAAGTACAAGTAGTATTGATAGAAGAGACATACAGAAGTTTGTTTTGTTGTTGTGGTAAGACTGGTAAAAAAAGAAGTTTTTTTCATTAGTTAGAGAACATCATCAGAGTCAGCCATCTTGTTCGGTGGAGCGGCTGGCTGCAGTGGTGGCACCATCGATGTTGACGAGTGGAATCAAATCGTCACCACCACCACCATCAGCAAGGCGTAGAATTGGGCGGCGGCGGCGGCGGCGGCAGTGGTAACAGCCGTCGACAATGCAGTAGTAAACAGCAATCAACAGGACCATCACCAGCGCCATGAAGCTCACGAACATCCCATCGGCGATGATGACCAAGACGCTGTAGTTGTCTGGTAAGATGGTCGAAGGCATTTTTCGCGGTCTTCTCTTAGAAAGTCTTTTCTTGTTGAAGAGAATTGTTGAAGCTGGTGTTGTGTTCGGTAAGCGTGCGAGAGTCGTACTGCCGGCGCTGAACACACACTTGAAAGAGAGGCGAGCAAAAGTTCGGCTCCCATTGCCTCCTATTACCAGAACGTTCATAGATGGAATGATCAAGAGAGAGAGAGAACGGGAGTTCTCATATTTCAACTGAGCTTTTTGAAGTTTTTGGCTGCTCAAAACTAGAAACGTCCGTACTTTGACCTTAGGACATCGTTTAGAAGTAGTGTTTCTGCACACACTTTACTTGCACCAAACGAAAAACCTGCCTTTTTACAATCGGAAAAGCACTTTTGTTTTAAAAAAAACTGGATAAGTAGAACAACAACTACTACTACTACTTCTAACAGCGTGTGAGTGTGTCAATAAATTTGGTGTGTGGTGTGTGCTGTTGTATCTTTCTGGGCGTAAGTACGACCGGAACTGTTGTACAGCTTCACAGAGAAAAAAAATCAAAAACCTTTGGTCAAGCTGCCAAGTCTTTTTTTATAAAAAGAAAAACTCAATTTCAATGACCTTCAGTTTTTATCAAATAACCAGTAGTCTACCTCTACTGTCGTTAACATTTCTATGCTGGTTCAATCTAGGTTCATCATCACTACTTGCTGATAAGATGCTCTTGTACAGCAACTTCTTTCCCGCTAAATGTACGCTCATGCAATGTTGTGATGTTGTAGTAGACAACAATAAAAGAAGCTCATCTTCAAACGGCACGTACCACTTTTTTTTTAAAATCTCATCTCCACTTTTTACAGCCTCAGCTTCTGTTGTTGTTGTAGAAGAATGTTACGTCATGGTTTGTTGTATCTTCTTCTGCTTCTGCCTCTTCCCTTGTTTATTACCCCCCGTACACAACAGGTGCACACATCACATTAACACGTGAATTCTTCTCATCAGTATATTATCAGATTGCTTAGGTGATTAGATTGCAACTCTTGTCGTCGTTGTCGTCGTTGTACTAGTTGATTAATGTGTACCTGCATATAAATTGACAGAGTGGCAGCGGCAGGAGCAAACTGCTGCTTTCAAAATCTGCTTCGCCTCACTTTTTTGTTTCATTGCGTCCACCCCAGCGTACAATAAACCAAACACAAAAAAATACATAGTTTGCTCATCACAAAGGTGCTGGTTTCCAACAAAACAAACAAAAACTATGCTGCTCAGTCGCCCCTGGATGGACTGAAAGGAAGAAAAAGAGTAGAGAACTGGTTCTCCGATAAAAAGGAAGTGCCATCGTAGGTGACGGGCGTTGGTGGCGAGACAGCAGTAAAAGTCGACATCATCAGTGGAACATCATCATCGTCAGCAGCAGCAGCAAAACCTAACCTAAATTCCATCCAATCCAACGATAACAACAAATCAGCAACGATGATCCTCAGACCGTTCCTGCTGTACGCCATCAAGCGGTGGTCCCTGCTGGTGCTCTGCCTCACCAGCACCATCCTCGCCGTGGTCTTCTCCATCATGGCGAAGGAGAACGTCAACGAGATGCTCGACCTGGTGGGCATCGCCCCCGAGGACCTGGAGGCGAAGAAGGTAGGCGCTCTAAACTTTGTCACCTAAACTCCCAGAATCCCATAATTTCATAAACTTCTTTTTCACCACTACCACCACCACAGTCCGAGATGATCGCCCGCCTCTTCATCGCCACCGCCATCATGAGCATCTTCAAGGTGGTGGGCATCTGCGCCGCCCTCTTCGAGAACATCTGGGTGGCCAATGCCTTCATCGTCTTCAACATTCTCAACCTGATGATGGTCTTCGGCGTGGCGCTGATCAACTCCCTCAAGTGGATCAACTTCATCCTCACGCTGGCCATCATGGCGGTGGCCATTCTCTTCTGGATTGACCTGAAGAAGTTCAAACTGATAGAGCCTGGTGGCTCCATGGCGAAGATTGACATTTAGAGAGTGTAGGGAAAAGTAATAAATAAAAAAAATGAAAACTTAAGAATAAGAGCACAGTTTTTGTTGAGGGCGGAAAGTGAGGGAACAGTTTCATGTTTTTTAATTCAACAAAAAAAATTTGAAAAGTGTAGGATTTCAGTTTTTATAACTAAAAACGAGCTAGTAATCTTGATAGTCGTCGTTGTTGCCGCTGCTGCTGCCGAAGCCGAAACCGCCACCGACACCACTTTTGTTGCTGAGTGAGTTTTGGCCAAACAAATCTTTTTCTAAAGATTTAGCCCCAAAGAAGCTTCCCCCCAAAGAGGAGTCTTCGCCCGCTGAGCCCTCTCCTAGAGGCTGATAGTCGTAGCTTTCACCGTCACCTTCCAATTCATCAAATTCGCCTAATTCTTTATTGCTGACTTTCGGTGGTTGCAACAGGTAGCTCAAGTTGTCCTTTTTCAATAGAGAGCCTTCAAGAAGTGCCTTTATATTTGGATTTGGATTTGGATCTGCTCATAGAAAACGATGTTATTGCATTAAAAAAGTTTTAGAAAAAACAAACTCAAGCTTACTTGACTCAACGACAGTGAAGAAAATCATCCAAACTGCTGCAAAACTAAAAAGCGCCATTTTTAAACTTTTCATTGTTAGCAAAATGATAAAAAATCAACTTAATTTATTATTTTTAGTCTGAAAAACCTTCGTCGTTTATCAGTCAGTTTTTATATGCAATATCAGTTTGGTAGCGAGATGTGTCACTGGTACAACATTGAACTGGTAGATCAATGCTAAAAACTCGAACATTAAAAGAAAAAGTTGTCAATTTAATTTTGCGTATCTAAACAGCCTTTGCAATAGTTGTCGTTGTTGTTGTTGTTGTTTGTCAATATCAATTTGAGGGCAGCTCAATGTCAGCCAGCACAAAAACAAAAAAAGAATGAGTGAGTTGCTAATCACTTTACATATCTCCTCTTTTTTGCATGTATAATTAATCGAGAAAAGATTCAGCATTACCAAAAAAATGCTCCGGTTGCGATTAAAATCAAAGTTAAAGTAAAGCAAAACAAAAGGAGCTAGTGAAACTTTTCATTGAATGACATTAGAACTGGATGATCAGTATCGTAATTCTCATAATCAAACGGCCATGGTCTAGCTTGAACACTAAAGGACACCTCCATGTCGTCATCATCAGCAACTAGGAGATTCGGCAAATTGTTAGCACCTTGAGAAGAGGATGGCACCGACCCGGCGACACTGTTTTCTGCAGATGAACCGTTTGCTTCTAGTACAGATTTAATTGAAATAAAAAACAAATAAAATTTATAAAATTATTGAAGAAGCACCACTTGCAAGACTTTGGACAAATTTAACTCACCGGTTTTCAGAAAGGGCACCAGCAAAGCAAGCACAAGAGCGAGCAAAATTTGATTGTTCATTGTTTTTTAATCGAAACTCAAACTAAAAGTTCAATTTTTAAAATTAAACGTTTTTCAAAGTATGTGAGTTTATATGCAAATTACCAGAGGCGGATTTCAACAATAAAAAAGCTCTATATACACTGGAGTTACTTAATATTTTAAATGTTAATCACATTTTTATTGTTAAGTTAGTTTGGTAATTCACCTAATGCTTCAAGAGTTGGTGATTGGTAGTTTAGGTTTTTATTTGAGAAACCTTTCACATTTAAAAAAGTTTAAGTAAAAACGTTTTTTAAAAACTGATTTTATTAATTTTTAAACAGTAAAAAGTGAACGTGAAGCTGTTTGGTGCAAGAAAGGTTTCACTCAAAGTTTTCCCAATGTAAAATTACCATGGGTGCAAGGTATCATAGTCTTCCCATTTATAATCGTAATTTTCTAAATTAAATATTGCGGTATCATTAAACTTCCACTTGCAGGCAAAAATTCCATTGCTGAGCCGACTGCAAATAGTGTTCTGGACGTCGCCTTTATAAAACTGATGTGACCACCTTGCGATAGCTTCGCAGCCACTGTCAATCTTCTCAGGACAAGTTTTGTAGCTGTCAGTAGAATAGTTGACCGACTCATTGTCGGGATCAGTTTTTCTACCCAAAGAATCGTGAAAGCTCCACTTACAGGCCCAAGAATGTTTGTTGAGACGTCTGCAGCGGTCACGAGCGGCATCGCTACTATAAAATTTTCTAAATCCTTTTGCGACAAATTTGCAAAAGGTGTTAAGTGTAAAAGGACAAGGTCTGTCTCTAAATGTATTGTGATGCCAGTCACCATTGTAATCATATTTTGGATTATTATCGGGATCATTATTGGAAACATTATCGGTAACATCATCGGGATCATTATTGAGATTATCATTGGAATCATCATCGGAATCATCATCGGAATCATCATCATCAACATCACTATCAGATAGTTCATGCTTGCCTACGTTTATGTCCACTAAAAATAAGAGTAAAAAAGTATACATTTTTACATTAATCAGAAATCAAATAAAAACCCTTTATGACTTACAAGCTTTAGCTGTGAAAGGAAATATAAACAATGCCCAAACAAGAACGAGAACCAACTGCATAGTTATTTTGAAAACAAAGTTTTTGTAGAAATAAAGTTTACAATTTTCTAAAAACAGTATTTTTTAAACTTAATCAATTTTCAGTTTTATTTATATTTAGAAATAAGCTAATTAAAACAAAAACACAAAAATTGTTCACTGATCCAAAAACTGCGCAGTTTAATAGAAAACATCTTTTTTCTTGTGAAAATTACAGCATAAAAAGTTATGACATTTTGTAAGCTAAAAAGCACACTAGTAAAACTTTAATTTTAGTGCGAATTTGGTAATGAATGAACAACCTAATTATCTTAAAATTCAATCATCCGTTGCACAAAAACATATTTTCTAGCGTATAATTGAAAATTGTAACAGTTTTTTATTTTGAACAATGTAAAAAATTAGCGCAAACTTTCATTTACAGGTGAACCTACCTAAATTTTACTAATTTCTAACATAATCATAATCCCAATTTGGGTCTTGGTTCACGTTGTTGACGGCCGAATCATCAAGCATAAATTTACAGGCGAATTTGTCTTTGGTTAAGCGTGTGCAACGGAGGCAACTGACAGTGCCACCATAGTCCTTAGTTAGTTTATTTGCGGCATTTTTACATTGTCCAATAAGGGTGAAAGGGCAGTCCTTGCCAATATGATTGTCAAACTTAAGGTGATCATCATTGCTATTATTATCAATGATAACATCATCGTCATCATCACTATCAGATGAATCATGCTTTTCGTAGTTTATGCTCTCTATTTGTGAGATTAAAAAAATAGTTTTTGCATTAGTCGCAAATCAAGTGGGAATACTAATAGTAGTTTACCGGCTTTAAGTGTAGGAAGCATTATAAACCAAAACAAAACAACAAGAATTGATAACTGAAAATTCATTTTTAAACAATTTTCACAAAAAGTTAAAGTTGAATGATTTAAAAAGCAGGCTTATAAAGCAATTTACTTAATTTTGTAGTAAATAAAAAAATGTTTAAATGCTTGCATAGTTTTTTTATTTCATTTGCGCTTAGTGATTAGCTAAATAAAACGGATGAAATCAAACTGTTCAATGATGCAAAAGCTACCCAGTTTGCAAAATCTGTCTTCTCTTGTCTTATGAAATTACTGCATAAAAAATGGTGACATTTTGTAGGTTATAGAGCCTATTGACAAAGCTTTGTATGAAAAAAAACAAAACGGTCATCCTATGCTTTTGTGCGTGTTTAAACCAATGTTGTCACTAGTACTTTATCAAAAATACTCAAAAAATTGTGCACAAATTGATCATTTTATTTATTTTTTGTTTGTTACATTTTAAAATTTTTAGTGTAAGTTTTCATTACTAAAAATATCACCGAAATCACCATGGGTGAAGAAGATCATAGTCTGACCAACTTGGGTCTTGATATGCGTTATTGGTCGAAGAACTGTCGAACTTCCACATACAAGCAAAAATATCGGTTTTCATTTGAACGCAACCGCCAAGTTTGACAGTGCCACTATACCGCGAACTTAAATTTTCTGCTACTGTTTTGCAACGTTCAATAAACTTTGTAGGACAATTTTTACTAATATGAGAATTGTCAGATAGCGATAAGTTTGTGTCAACTAAGTTTGGGATTTAAGAAAAATATTNTCCACATACAAGCAAAAATATCGGTTTTCATTTGAACGCAACCGCCAAGTTTGACAGTGCCACTATACCGCGAACTTAAATTTTCTGCTACTGTTTTGCAACGTTCAATAAACTTTGTAGGACAATTTTTACTAATATGAGAATTGTCAGATAGCGATAAGTTTGTGTCAACTAAGTTTGGGATTTAAGAAAAATATTTGTGTTAGTTGAAAATCAAATGAGAATACTGTGGTGATTTACCGGCTTTAAGTGTAGAGGGCAAGAAACACAAAGTCAAAAGAATAACAAGAAGCGATAACTGAAAATTCATTTTTAAACAGTTTTCAAAAGGGAAAGATAAATAAAGTTTGCATAATTCAAAAAATAGATTTATAAAGCAGCTTACAGAGTTTAGCAATAACCAAAAACTCCATTTTCCCTAAACTGCCAGCCTAATTTAGCAATTTCATTTAGTAACCAGTCAGATGCAATCAAAAATTACTCATTGATGCCTAAACCACTCACTTTTTGGTGAGTGATGAAATTACCCTCTTTTGATATGCTGACATTTTTCAAAGGTTAGACAAGAAATGAAATTACAAACGTACAAAAGGAAAAAAACATTTTTGTTTTTTTATGTTACTTACACACTTTAGCAATCACCCTACTAGAATTAGACAATTACTTTGTGCAGCAATTTCCTAATTAATAAAACCGTCTTTTCTACATCTTTCCATTACTTTTTTCTCATTTTTTATTTTTTCGTTTTTTCACAAACTTTCTTACACCTGAATAGATGATGGTTATACTGTAGCAAAAGTAAAAACCAAACAGATTATTATTCAAAGCAAATTAAATTAGAAAATGTTGGATGGCAGGGAGAGCGCGAACTGATAGAAAACGTTTATTCAACTATAAACTAGATAATAACTAAATCACTACAGTGAGATACACCACTCTAAGCAGAGTGGGAGAACAATGCTTGCAAGTTCTAAAACCTAACAGAAAAGAATAAAAAAACAAAATTAACAAAGCAAAAGAAGCGGAAAGCAAAGCAGCAGATGATGATAAAAAGAAGAAAAGAGTTTGTTTGACAAAAAAACAAAATAAGTTTTGTTTTAATTTTTTATTCTAAACGACATAAAAAGTTAGCGCAACTTTCATTGACAATGATAAAAATAAAAAAAATTACTAATCTACAGCATGGTCATTTTCACAATTTTGGTCTTGATTCACGTTATCGACTGCCAAATTAATAAGTTTCCACCTACAAGCAAACTTTTCTCGGGTGAGGCGTTTGCAAGCGTCGCAAACGACGGTGTCACCATACACATTAGTTAATGTATCTGCGACATCTCCACAAATTTCACCAGGGTTTTGACTATCGACGTAAGAGGCCGCATCTCTGTCAAATTTCCACATACAGCCGAACGTATCCAATGCCATTTGTGCGCAACCGTTGAATTTGACAGTGCCTTTATTCAGCAGATTTATCCGCTTTGCTATTTCTACGCAACTATAAGTAAACGTTTTAGGACAGTTTTTACTAATATGAGAATTGTCAGATAACGATAAGTTTGTGTCAACTAAGTTTGGGATTTAAGAAAAATATTTGTATTAGTCGAGAGTCAAATGCGAATACTGTGGTGATTTACCGGCTTTAAGTGTAGAGGGCAAGAAACACAAAGTCAAAAGAACAAAAAGCGATAACTGATAATTCATTTTTAAACAATTTTCAAAAAGGATAGGTAAATAAAATTTGCATAATTCAAAAAATAGATTTATAAAGCAGCTTACAGAGTTTAGCAATAGCCAAAAGCTCCATTTTCCCTAAACTGCTAGCCTAATTTAGCAATTTTATTTAGAAACCAGTCAAATGCAATAAAAATTACTCATTGATGCTTAAACCACTCATTTTTTGGTGAGTGATGAAATTACCCTGTTTTGAAAATGCTGACATTTTTCAAAAGTTAGACAAACGACAAAATTACAAGTGACCAAAAGAAAAAACTATTTTTGCTTACTTTAATGTCACCCACACACTTTAGCGATCACCCTACTAGAATTAAACAGTCACCTGCTGCACCAATTTCTTGATTAATGAAGCCATCTTTCCCGCATCTTTCCTTTACTTTCTCATTATTTTTTCATCTTCGCACTGACTTCATCACAGCTGGTGGATAAACAGTAGCGCAAAAAGTGAAAATGAGAAAAGATTATTAATGCGCAATTACCGCAAATCAAATTAGAAACGGGTGAAAGGAA